GCAATGATGCTGTAGAGCAGGAAACATGCGAAGCAATTATCTTTTTAGTAGGTCACTGGCCTCCTTTGGGAGAAGAGAGCAGAGGGAGAGCTGGGACGGCAGGCAGCACGGCCTCCCCCAGAGGCTGCGCGTGCAGTAGCTGTGTTGGTGATTAATAGCCGTGTCACTTCCCATGAATGTTGCTTTAAGCAGCCGTGTTCAAAATTGAGTGGGAATGAAATAAAACAACCCAAAATAAATGTTTCCTCTATTCCTTAAGAGTTGCTGGAATCCAGAAATAGCTTTTCCAATCTATAATTTTAAATGGCATCATTCACAGCCCTCTTGGAGCCTCGGCTTTATTTTCACGTGGATGTTGTTGTGCACACGCGCGTCACTTTTTGTTTTTAAAGACCATGAAAAATTTGAGCTCAGTGACTTTGGGTTTTTTTCCCGCACTGAAATAAAAATTATGTTTACAGAGAAAAATACAGCCTTTACATGGGTTTTTAAAGAAAAATAGTAACCCTGCCGAGGAAAAGGACAGGAAGAATATTGTGTCCATATAGATCATAAACTGGAACAGTAAAAACGTCTGGCAGGCGGTAATTGCTGGCCAGCTGCAGGGATTATAGCCCCGTGAGCTGTGCTCAGGGCAGCGTGCCAGGACACTGGCAACCAGAGGCAGGCCTGGACCAGCATGGCCCTCAGTGCGGTCGATGGGGGCCTGAGAGCACACACAAGGGGGTGACCACAGAGTGGAAGGGCAGGATTCCTGCACTGGCTAAGCCCTCTCAGAGCACCAAGTCTTGAGGTCCCCTCTCACTGCTGCCTCTGTTGGAGCCAGGCTGCCAGCTTGGGGACAGATGGTGGCAGTCATGGGGATGACTTCTGGCTACATCCCTGGGCAGGAGAAGGATCGTTGGCCTTTAGAGTCATGTATTCCCCTGCAAAAGCCAGAGAACACATCCGATGGGTGAGGAGCTAGCAGGAACCCCCGGCCCAGTGCTTTGGGGACTGTCAGTGTCTTGGGCCAGAGAGAGGGAGGGAAAGAGTACAGGTGCTGCCTGCCTTCTGCCCACTCATATGTTTCCTTCTAGTCCTTGGCAAAACATCAAAAACCAAAATGAAACAAACCAGCAGTGGGGTGGGCTGTTGGGCACGAGGGCAGGGTGGGTCCCTCATCTTACTTGCTTCCTCCATCCCTGTCCTCATTGCCCACTGGCTCCCACCCAGCGCTCCAGTGTCTGACAGTTAAGCTTTTATTGGACCATCTAATAACAAGCAGACATTCCAAGAAGCGGAGGGTGAACGGGTGGAGGCATTGGGTGTGGAGCTGCTGAAAGATGGCAGAACAGTCAGTCTGTCATCCTGCCTTCAGTCTTTCCTGAGCGCTCACACCCGGTCGAGCTGGGGCACCTGAAGATGGAACAGGCCTGCCCTCAGGGAGCTGTGAGTCTGGCCACAAGTGAGGTTTTAAAATACAGGTTTTAGTGTTGTTCAAGTATGGGGAGGCCAGCAGGTCAGTAGACAACTGCCATTGAAAAGATAACTTGCTACTCACAGTTCCCAAGGGGAGGGGCCCGCCATGCCACACAGGGAAGCACCAGGGCAGTCAGGAGGCAGAGGGAGCAGGGAGCAAGGGGAAATCGTGGACAAGAGCCCTTATGGTGGTTTCCGTGGGAAGGAACGGGTGAGACAGGGTAAGCAGGCTAAACAGACTTAGGATTAGCTAGTCTCAATCATTTCAGTGGGCTCTGGAGTATGGAGGTTGTCTCTGGTTGTCTGGTACCCAGCCCTGGGGTGACTGGCACAGGGGAACAGTGGCCTAGAGTGTGAGAGCCCCATAAAGGAGGTGGTGGGGGTATGGGCTCTGGGTTGGTTAGTTTGCATACGGAAGATGTACTTGCAGAGGTGTCATTTGCTTGCTCTAGGAATTGGCTGGCCCTGGGAGGGACAGTCCCTCCAGGGTCAACAAGGGCCCAGATGTCAAAGCATCAAAACTTGAGGTTAACACAGGTGCACACAGTGCCAGCAGGAAAGGGAAAATTGCTCCTGTGTGGGAGGAATCCCAGCTGAAGTGCTGAGGGCCTTCTGAGGAGACGCAGCTTCCTGCCTTGGTCTGGTTTGGTTTTTGAAGGGGCGTGGCGAAGAGGGAGGGAGTCTCAATGGGAAGAAGGACTTTGGCTGAGCCAGCAAAAATGTGATGTGTGGCAGTTAGGGGTGAAGTTGGCTGCAGGCAAGGAGCCCTGCTTGGACGGAGGCCCAGGATGGGAAGGTGTCAAGGGCTTAGCAGCAGGGAAAGCAGCTGGGGCACTCAACTGGGGCCCAAGTCGCTCTGGAATGCCACGGGAGGCATTTGGATTTCCTTCTGTATGAGCTGGCCAGAGCTGTGTTGCCCTCCAGGAGTCCTAATGAATTCATACACTCATACAGAATGCCTATGCTTGCCATATATCATAGTCTCCGAGCTTAATTAACGATTTAGGATGCTGAAATAAATTTATTCTGGATGAAAAGAAGAAATCCACCGTGGCAGAGGCTGAAAACTCAGTGCCTCCCCGGCCTGCAGGTACAGACAGTGAGTGGAAAGGACTCTGGGGACAGCAGGGGACAGCCATGCCCCAACTGGAGGAGCAACGGCCTCTGAGCTCCAGGAGATGACATCATGGGAATGGGGTTCAGAGTTGCCAGATTTCCCTAGTGTTCAAGAAAGGCTGGAAATGCAGATTCTTGTGAAATCTCCTGAGCTTTGTGAAATCACCTGGTAACTCGGCAGTGCCTTAACTAAGCTCTTCCTTTCCTCTCAGCACCGGGAAAGGCACTGGGAGGCCTGTCCCCAAATGGACCTGTGGTGGCCTCTTTCTGCTCTGCGCCTGTCACCCCAATTCAACTGGGAGTGCCAAAGAGGAAATGGGATGATTACAAGGTGTGCCTTATTGGGGAAACTGAGGCACACCAGGTCAGGGGTCAGATCTGACATCCAAAGACCTTCCCTGCGGTCTTGAGTGAGCCATCCTGCCATGCTTCATCTGCATGTCCTCGTTGGGAAAACCCATTCATTCGGCAAATATTGAGTGTTTGCTCTGTGCGGGGCCAAGACAAACACTTCGCACACAAAAGCAGAAAATTTGATGGGACGCTGTCTAAAACTGTATTGTTATTGTAATGATTTTTCAGCAGGACAAAAACTAGAAGGTGCCGTGATCAGTTGCTTCTTTGGCTGTCCCTGTGTGGGTGAAGTTTCTCACAACGACGTTCTGGCAGCACATAGGAAATCCTGTTGATTGACAGGGTGGGTGGGTGGGGGCACCAGGCTCTCCCGCCCATGCCACCTGGTCTGGTTCTCTCCATGTCCCAGGCTGTGAGTTCAGTGGCCTTCTTGACCCTGGTGGCCGCCCAGCACCTGGTGTGGTGCCGGCAGAGAGCAGGCATCCCGCAGATGAGTGAATCGCGTGTGGCAATGTCTAGTTTCGGTAGACAAGATTTTAGCCACAGCGACCGTAGATGAAGCTACAGTATGATCACGCACGTAAAAATGAAAGTTAAGAGAGTGGGGACAAACGGAATTTGGAAAATGACCTGACATTACGATGACATCATTATCGGATCAGTGCTTTTTGTATTGGTTTCACAATGATCCAGCAAGAGCTGAGAGATCTCCTTCCAGCCTGACAGGCTCGTTGGGTGCCATGCCCCGCGGGGCTTGGGTGTGTGCTGGGATGGACGCAGGGTGTGGAGGGAGGGCAGGCGGGGTGGTGTTCCGCGGATGGCCATCTGCGGGGTGGTTACACTGTGCTGGGGGACTCCGTGCTCGTAGAAAACAAGCCTGCACTCAGAGTGCTTGAAGCGGCTGCCCTGTGTGTGCTTACTGTCGTCTACGTCCCCACTACCTCCCACCCACACGACAGGTCCAGACTGTGAATTCTAGACACCTTGTGCACTAAGAGATCATGGTACCCTTCTTTTAATTACAAATAAAGACAATAGTAAAACATCAAATTATGTTTAAGAAAGTCTGTTAATATAAAATTTTAAAACATTTGCTGTTTCCCCTCTCTCCTCGAGTGATTGATGGATAGATATCCTCACCTCACTGGTGTCCAAAGCACAGGTTTGCCCTGCCTGTTTGATAACAAAGCACTGTGTGTACCTGTGTGTGCACGCCTGTGTATGCGTGCACATATGTGTGTGCATGTGGGCATGCATGTGCGTGTGAAATGTTCTTTCAGAAATCAACATGAAGGTCGGAGGCGTTCAAAGGCAGGAGGCTTCCAAGCCCAGGACTGTGGAGCATCACGGGGCACAGGGGTGACCTCTGACAGGCCAGGCTCTTGGCAGTCTGCAGCCGCGGGATTCTGACTGTGGGGGTTGCCTGTGGGGACAGTCCCACACTGCTTTATAAACTGCTGTGAAGAAGACCGGGGTTTGCCCTGACACAGCTGCCTCGGAGCGAAACGCAGCAGCTGTCCACAGGGCCCAGGGTTGCAGGCAGGGTGTGGAGAAGGTTGCAGGAGGAGAAGACCTCCGTGTGGAACCGCAGGGGGACTGAGCTGGGCTGAAAGTAATGACCCGCCTGTGAATCTGACAGGAGCACTGGGTTAGCATCGCCTCCTTCTTGAGGATGTCCTTTTGAAATATGTTCTAGGATATTGCTCTCATCCTATTAATTATGTCACAAACTTATTAAAGCTGAATAATTAATGATCGTGGGGCACTTGGAATGATAAAATGCCATGTAAATGTTAACGGATAAAAATTACTCTGTGTATGAAATAGATGCGCTGCTTTGAATATATGCCATGGTGGGAAGGTTAATTTCCACAAGAGCTGAAGAGCTTTCTGTTGGGCTGTATTCAGAAACGTGTGATATCTTATTATCTTAACCTCATTTCAGGAGGCTCGAGCATTCTGTGTTCTGATGTATTCGAACGGCAAATGTCTGCTTAGAATTTTGAGCTCTGGAAATGAAGTTGCCTATTGGATTTTGGTAAAAATTGTGTCTGCTTGCTTCTCTCTAGCCGGAGGCAGTTTGGGCCCAAAGCGAAGGAAGAGGTCAAGATCATTGAGCACCAAACGCAGACCCTTCGGCTGATGCCGCACCTGGCCACGGCCTTGGCCCTGACCTTCGCCAGCAGGTGAGATGGGTCTCAGGGTTTGCCCTCTGGAGGTGAGTGTGAGGCCCTGGCGTTAGTAAGGAGTGAGAGGAGAGAGAGCCAGAGGCTTCATTTTCTACCTGCAAGCAGGAAAGCATCTGTGGTTAAGATGCAGGGCTCGGCTTAAAAGTGATGTTCGGCTCTTGGTTGTCTGTATATCCAGATGAATGGGATCCACAGCGAATTTGAGAAGACTCGAACCAGTGTTTCTCCAGCATTTCTGAAAGAAAGAAACTTAAATGGTTCAAATTTCTCTACCTCTATAAAGGTTCTAAGTTACAGTAAAGTTTTCAAAAATAGGTCAAGGTGTGTGCACTTGAGGGAGGTAGGAGTCAGGCTATTGAATGAAACAGCAGTAACTACTGTAAATTCACATGGAAATTCACATTTTACAGCAGGTTTTGTCTGTGCTTCTCCACTCTTCCTCCTCGAGGCCCTAGGAGGTGGCCTGGGCAGTTATGTGTCGCCACTGTATTCTAAAGACCAGAAAATTGGAGAATGCCTAAAATCACAGGGTCCAGGAGCAGGTGGGCTGGGATGTAACTCCAAACTTTGGATGTTGATCCTCTGTTCTTTCCTCCCTGTGCAACCCTGCTTCTCAGTGATAAGGACAAGAATTAATTTCTGAATAATTTAGAAATGATGTGTGTTTGAAATTTCCTGCACCCCTCAGTAAGCCCGTGCCAGGGTTTATAAAAAGATGGTCATGGGAGAGACCGTAGTCAGTGTGCTGGGCTTGTGGGGCTGCCTAGCTGCTGCTGGCCTGGCTGGGACGGGCTCGCTGGGCACAGCTCTGCTCTTACTGCCGTCAAGCCTGGAATCCCAGGGTGCACGAACAGCGAATCCTGCAGACTGAGCTTCAGGAACAACACTAAGGGAGATCCAAGCCACCTGGAAAAATACGTAAATTACTTACAGCCAACATTTCACTTACAATGTTTTTGAGGTTTAATTTGCATACAGTGAAATGCACAGATTTTAGTGTATTGTGTGATGAGTTTTGACAACCACATCAACTTGTGTAATGAACACTCAAACCAAATATAAAACATTTCCCTCACCCCAGAAAGTTCCCTCGGGCCCCTTTGCCATTGGCCCCCACCTCACCCCCACGGCAGAGACAGCCTTTCTGATTTCTACCTCCGTAGCTTGATTTTGTCTGTTCCTGAACTTCATATAAATGGAATCATACAGGAGGTATTTTTTTGTGTCCAGTTTATTTCATTCAACGTAACGTCTTGATGTTTGTCAATGTTGTTGGTGGTTTGTTCATTTTTATTGCTGGGTAGTAGCATTAAAAGAATAAATCACAATTTTTTAATCCATCCTCTCACTGATGCACATTTGGGTTGTTTCCACACTCTTAGCTACTATGAATAAGCCACAGTGAATATTCTTGCACAGTCTTTCATTTTTCTTAGGGTAAAAACGTAGAGAGGACGTGCAGGGTAATTGGGGACGTGTTTGTCTAGTTTTATAAGAAACTTCCAGCTTTTCATTTTACACTCTCTCGGGCGATGTATGAGGGTTCCAGCTGCCCTGTATCCTGACCGACGTTTGTTCCATCTCTTTCGCAATTTGATCCAGACTAAGCGGTATGAAATGGTATCTCATTGCAGCTTAAATTCATACTTACCTGGTGGCTGATGATGTTGAGAACTTTTTCCTGTGCTCATTGGCCATCGTGTATTTTCTTCACAAGGGATCTTTAAGTCCCTTGCACATTTTTCTAAATTGTGCTCTTTGCCTTTTTACTGACTTATAAGAGTTGTTTATATATTCTAAAAGCAAGTTCTTTGTCAGATTTACCTATTGTAGATATTTTCATCCATTCCGGGTTTTGTCTTTTCATTTTCTTAGTGACGCTTTTTGGTGAGCAGAAAATTTTAATGTTGATTACGTCTAATTTACCCATTATTTTTTCTTTTCTGAAGAGTGCTTTCTGTGTCCTCTCTAAGACATCTTCATAACCATAGCTTTATAGCAAGTCTTGAGATCAGGTAGTGGGGCTGACCTTACAGAAATAAAAAGGAATATAAGGGAATATTATGAACAAGAATGTGCCAAAAATTAGATAACCTATAAAAAATGGACAACAAAAGTACCAACTACCAAAACTGAATAAAGAATAAACAGAAAATCTGAACAGACCTATAGCAAGTACAGAGATTGGATTAGTAATTTTAATCCTTCTAAAATTTAGAAGAGGAGGGAACACTTTCCAACTTATTCTATGAGGCTACAATACTCAATACCCAAATGAGGCAAAGATATTAGAAGGAAACTCTAGACCAAAATAACCTATGAATATCAATGTAAAAATCTTCAACAAAATGCTAGCAAACTGAATCCAGCAACATATAAAAAAAAATATACACCATGACCATGATACACCATGACCATGATACACCATGACCAAGTGAGATTTATCCCAAGAATGTGAGGTCGGTTTGACATACAAAAATCAACCAATGTAACATACCACATTAATAGAAGAGGTGAAAAAACCCCACGTGATCATCTCTACATATGTGGAAAAAGCATTTGACAAAATCCAGCACCCTTTTATCATAAAAGACTCTCAAAAATCTAGGATAGAAGGGAACTTCTTCTATCTCATAAAAGTCATCTATAAAAATTCTACAGTTCTATGTAATCATATGTAATGGTAAAAGATTGAGTGGTTTCTCCTTAAAATCAGGAACAAGATAAGGATGTCTCTGCTCTCTCTACATCTATTCCCCGTTATGTTGAATGATCTAGCAAGGACAAGCAGGCAAGAAAAATAATGAGGCATATAGATTGGAGAGGAAGTAGTGAAACTATCTCTATTTATAGATGATGACGTGGTGTCGTAAATAGAAAATCCTAAGGAATCCACTAAAAGTTTGTTAAAACTAATAAACAAGTTCAGCAAGATTATAGGATACAAGATCAATATACAAAAATCAATTGTATTTTTATATCCTAGCTATGAATAATCCAAAAATGAAATGAGGTCAAACAATTCCATTAACAATAGCATCAAAAAAGAATAAAATACTTAGGGGTAAATTTAACAAAAGAAGTTAAAGAAGATGTGAATATCTGGAAAGGTGTCCCATGTTTATAGATCAGATGACTTAAGATTGTTAATATGGCAATACTCCTCTAATTAAAGTACAGATTCAGTGCAATCTTTATGAAAATCCCAGAAGCCTGTTTTTCAGAAATTGACAAGCTGATTTTAAAAATTTGAACACATGGAACAAAAAGGAGCCCGGATAGCCAAAACAGTCTTGAAAAAGGAGAAAGAGTTGGAAGACATACACTTCTCTACTTGAAAACTTACTACAAAGCTACAGTAGTCAAGACAGTGTGGTATTGGCATAGGACAGACAAATAGATCAATGGAATAGAATTGAGAAGACAGAAATAAAGCCCTAAATTTATGGTCAGCTGATTTTTGACAAAGGTGCTAAGACAATTTAATGGGCAAAAGAATAGTCTTTTCAACAAGTGGTGCTGGTGGAACTGGATATCCACATGCAAAGGAATGAAGTTGGACCCCTCCCTCACTCCGTCCATTGCAATTAGCCCAAAATGAAGCACAGACCTAAATATAAGAGCTAAAAGAATAAAACTCTTAGAGGAAAACAGGAGTAAATCTTCACGACCATGGGTTAGGCAATAGTTTCTTAGATATAACACCAAAAGCGTTAAGTGACAAAAGAAAAAATAGACAAATTGAATTTTATCAGAAGTAAAATCTGTTTGTGTTTCAAAACACACCATCAAGAAAATTAAAAGACGATCCACAGAATAGGAGAAAATATTTGCAAATCATATGTGTGATAAGGGACTTGCGTGTAGAACTTATAAAAAACTTCTGCAATTCAACAATAAAATGACAAATAACCCAACTGAAAAATGGACAAAGATCTGAACAAACATTTCTCCAAAGAAGAGATACAAATGGTCAATAAGCACCTGAAAAAATGCCAAAAATCATTATTCCTTAGGGAACTGCAAATCAAAACAACACTGAGTTATCACTTTGCATCCACCAAGATGGCTATAATTAACAAGATACTAACAAGCGTTGGTGAAGATATGATGAAATGGAACCGTCATACATTGCTGGAGGGAATGTAAAATGGTACAGCCACTTTGGACAACAGTTTGGCAGTTTTTCCAAAGATTAAACATGAAATTGCCATGACCCAGCAATTCCACTCCTAGGTACATAATGCAAGAGAAATGAAACCAGCTGTGCATACCAAAACTTGTACATGAACGTTCATAGCAACATTATTCATAACACCCAAAACATGGAAACAATCCAAATGTCTATCAACTAAGACATGGATAAACAAATGTGGTATATCCACACAGTGGAATATTATTTGGCGATAAAAAGGAATGAAGTACCAATATGTGCTACAGCAGGAGTGGACCTTGAAAACATTATGCCCAGTGAAAGAAACTAGTCACAAAGATCATACTGCATGATTCCATTGGTATAAAATTTCCAGAATAGTTGTATTCAGAGAGACAGAAAATAGAGCAGTGGTTGCCACAGACTAGGGGGTAGAAGAGGGAGTGAGGAGCGATTGCTAATGGGTTTGGGGTTTCTTTATGCGGTGATGAAATGTTCTAAAATTAGAGGCTAATGGTTGCACAACTCTGTAAATAATCTTAAAACCACTGAATTATACATTTTCAAAGTGTGAATGCTGTGGTATGTGAAATATATCTCAATAAAACTGTTGAAAAAGAAAGAGAAAGAAATCATGTCACGCGAGTCATCTAAGTCTGTTCTTTTTCAAAATCATCTTGGCTATTCCAGGTCTTTTGCATTTCCACATGCAATTTTGAATCTGCTCATCAGTTTTCTTGCCCAAAACACCCTGCTCGGGTTTATTTGTGATTGCATTATCTATAAAGCAATTCAGGCAGTATTGGGTCTTTCAAAACCCAAAAGATGGTGTATATCTCTTCAT